GATGAAAAAATAACGCTAATCAATAAACAAATGACGAATTTTGAAAAAAAGAGTTTATTTTGAAATTAGAATTCTTAGCCAAACAAATATTATTTTGATTTGAAATGGCCAGTACTGCAGCACAGCAATTTCATAGGTAAATACCTATTACATTAAAAAAATATGTGAAACTAGATGGGTAGAATGAAATGAATCGGTTTTGACATTTTGGAAGTCTTGCCATGTCTTGCATAAGTGTCTTGCATATATTATATATTATGTAGTATATTACATTCTAATTAAATCATTAATATTTTTTAAAGTAAAATCAGTTAATTTTTATTTACTGACATTCAATCAACTCATCTTTTTTAATTAGATCTACTGAAAAATTAAAAAAGAACTAACGAACTAAATGAGCGAACTAGTACGCTATAGGACTACGAACTAAATTGAGCGCTCCCAATGACGTTCGACTATGCCCAAGACTAAATCACGGTACGTAAAATAACCAGCCGTCAAACAAATAGATCGAACATTCAGACTCCGTATGTTGAAGAATATTACCGACTTTCAGTGTATATTCCTTTTCTTGATTACTTATTAAATAAAATGTCCTTTAGTTTCCCAAAGCTCAGCTGCAAAGAATAGGAAAGCTGCTAAAGTTATATACTATATATATATAACTATATACCCATAACTTAATCGATGAAGATATAGAGGATGTTTTACAGGATGCTGAAGTATACAAAGAGTTTCTTGTTTTCTAGCTTTGAAGTTCGTGTTACAAAGTTAGACCACTGCTGAGCAATTTTAACCACCTTACGCCGGCTGAAGACATATCTTCGCAGTAGTATGAGAGAAGATTTTCTAAATGGACTGGACGTAATGTTTATTCATAAAGAAAGAGAAGAAAGAGATTGCTACAAAGATAAACGTACTTGATGCCTTCAGCAGAAAACGTAAAAGAAAGCTATCTCTAATAAACATGTCATTTCTCAAAATTTAATCTTTATTACAAGTATTTTTAACATTTATTCTTGTATTTCATTGACAAAGAATCGATCCCAAAAACAACATAGTACAACACTATGAGGGACACTTAACCCATGGCCCATGTGCCCCTCCCAGAAATCCTGGAACCGGCCTTGAATATCGACAACAAAGAGGTCAGGACAAGTCGACGGTCGTCGCGTCTAGTTGTCCGTAGGTGCAAATGGTAAGGAGAAATTACATCATATTTGTAATTCCTGCTCTTCGTTATATATCCTATATATGTATTCGTATTTTCAAAGGTATTTTGTTTTCTGTTGTTTAAGGCGTTGAGACCTAAACGTAATCGATCGTGAACAGTGACAGATTGATATTTGCTTACGGTTGAGTTCCTCTGCTAACCCGCAGTTTGGCGGCTTGATGGATAGCGCGGCCGCGATTGTTAGTCGCATTGCAGTAAAACGTATGCAATTTATTAGATCCGTTTCTATGTAATTGCCCTATATGTAACCTAACATTTCTTTAAAGAAATATATAATGTAACTTATTAATCGAAAAATCGATCACGAATATAGATTCACTTTTGCTTTTTTTTTTGGACGTTCTAAATTGCCTCTGTTATAGACGTCCTGGGAATTACATGGATAAGTAGTGTAAAGGCTTTTCAGATGTGGCATCAGAGTTTAAATTTTTCTTGTTTTCCTGTTTTTTTTTTTGCTTTAAGAACCTTACCTAAATATATCCATAATATTGAACTTTCACATCTGTGTGGTTCCCATTGAAAAATTTTGTCCCATGGATTTAGTTCAAACTTTGTACAGAAAACTTTTATACATTAAGCAATCACCCAAAAATATTATTTTTAAATTTACGTACTTTTAATACGCGATACATAATAAAAATATTTCAAGTCACGTTCCTACTGTAATATAAAACTTAAACATGATTTTACATCTTTAATAATGTAATATTTGCCGTGAATTCTTATTATTGCAATTATTTAATACTTTTAAGAATTTTAGGCATACTAGGAGATGGGCAGCAGCGTCTGAAACGTGGTCAGTCCATCTGAAAAATAAAATACTGTGATTGTCAATCCGCCTGCAAGCGCGGCAACTATGGCAAGTATCATAACATATCGCTCCATACGGCACATACTTTTTTACGTGGTAGAGCCATGCTGCAGCTATATTACTAATATAGTTGTAGCACGAATGGGCCGGCTCGACCGGGAAAGGACCACACTCTCACAGAATGCCAGCGTAAAATAGCAGCTTAACACTGCTGTGTTTCGTATGGTGAGTGTAGAGAACCGGAGACCCTTTTTACTGGAAATGAGGCATTCCAGTGACGACCTGGTAAAAGATGCAGAAAGTCGATGGATGCAGTTGGCTAAAGGCCGAACTTTGTGGCAATCCCTAGAGGAGGCCTATGTTCAGCAGTGGACTTGTGAGGGGTTGTAATAATCCAAGATGATGATGAATATGCGAACCATTTTCGACAGTAAATAATAACTAAGCGATATAGGTAAATGGGAGAGGGAGTGGTTTTCCCTTTCCCTGTTCCATGTCCTGTGGCCTATACCTAGTCCTGTGGCCTTTTAGTTCTGTGGAGCTAGAATAATTTCTACCATGGGAAATAAATTTTTCGCATCCAACATACAACGGAATAACAAATACGCCTCTCGAGGCAATTACGGCATTTTTTTTATTTCAAATAACAATGGAATGTTACTGGCTGATTTCGATGAATGGTGAAAGAATTTTGATTTTTTTAAAAGGGGAATAATGTAACGAACCCAGCAGTCGTTTTCAATACTGATGTGCATAGTAGATACTAGACAATGCATTTGTTATATAATAATTATGTTATAATTCGGAATTTAAAATATATTTCTAATAATTTAAGTTCGGTCCTTTATCTTGATTATACACCTAGTATTTGGAGAATACTTACAAGATTCTTTATCAAGATTAGAAATTACGAGACAGTACATTTTCTCGTCAAGTATATGTACCTCAAAACTAAAAAAAGGAGATTGTACAACCAGTGCGTGTTCCCCGCGATGACTTATGGATCAAAGACGTGGTCCTTCACTGCTGGGCGTATGAGGAAGCTCAAAGTCGCTCAGCGAGCTATGAAGAGGGTTATGCTCAAAGTTTCTCTGCGTAATAAACAGAGTGACTGTCATAGCCCAACGGATTAGTAAGCTGAAGTGACAATGGGCCGGCCATATAACTAGAAAAAGTGAGAACCGATGGGGAAAGAAAGTTCTCAAGTGGCAGCCTCGTACCGGTACGTGAAGTGTAGGGCGACCCCTTACTAGATGGAGTGACGACCTGGTAAGACATGCAGGAAGTCGATGGATGCTGGTGGCTCAGGACCGGCCTTTGTGGTATTCCTTGGGGGAGGCCTATGTTCAGCAGTGGACTTGTGAAGGGCTGGGCTAATGATGATGATGATAATTCGATCTAATATTTCAAAGAGGAAAGGGTGCATGTTTTCAACTATGATTTTAATACAATAATCACAACGACATTAATAGTGCGACATATTAGTGGAATGCCGTTATGTGTGCAACTTTTATTGTTTCAATAAATCGTATTAATTATAAATTCAGATTTGTAAATATCACTTACATTTAAATCCTAGCAGAAGCTACTAATTTAATTTTAAGTTTGGTATGTTACGTTTTCAAACTTACCTAGAAGGTAGGTGTAGTTATATTAGTAGAATAGAGTTAGGTAGTACCCACGTTGAAGAATGTTGCAGAGCCATGTAATACTAAATAAAAAGCCAAGAAATTGCTTACCGTTACAGCCTCGCGGTGGCAAAGATGGGTTATGTCGAGCTCGCACCGACTAAAACCCCATGATGTTCCACCTTCGTCGTATAGTGGTAGGGCCACTGGAACGCTTTCGCACACATCCGCGGCCCACCAGCGCTGGCCGCTTCGTGGTGGACCCTCCTCGGGAGTAGACTACTCCTCCCCATCCCCTTCGTAAGTAAGGCGCATCAGAACACATGGCGCGCCCTCCTCCACGGCCTTTAACTTCACCTGCGCATCAGACGCCCCCGTGTCCGATGCGCGAAGGCCGTGGGGCCAGGAAAAACGAGCACTCAGAAGTACTAGCCTTCCTGCCCCCAGCGTGGTCTATGGCTCCACCGCCAACCAATATTCGACTGCTGAGGGTAGGGAGAGAGGCGCCTCGCAATAACGACACTCCTCTCCCCCCGCAGCCCCACCACCACTGCATCAATATAGAGCGAGTGGCGCATCGCCATACCAACACTCCTCTTCCTCCGCGACTTCACCTCGGCTGCAGCAGTAGAAGGAGAGGGCACCCCTCGGAGTGGCCACCTCGGGCCAGCCATGTGGGTTCCTCCACCGCGGACGACCAAGCCACAGCCCCGCCGCTACGACAAGTCGGGAACCCGTTCGGGGAGTTGCTAACCAGGCCTACACGCCTCCCCCATAGATTTCCTCATAGAGGAATAATTGCCATAATTGCAAAGCTTGACAAGCGGATAGGCAACCGCAGTTTTTATTAAAAGAAGAAGGCGCTTACACATTTCATAATGTAACCTGATATTAAGCATACAAATGTCTTTCAAGTTAGGAAACTGGTTTGATGGGTTATTTGCAACATTCGAGCCAATGTATCTCAATGATACGTGTATTGTTCACTATTTATTAACTTATCTTGGCTCGCCAACACACCACCACACGTGTTACCGGGCCGCCTGTCGGATAGAGACTGCCCTTTCGTTACCCGCACCTCGTGACGTATGCGCTCGAGACAAGTTAGTGTATTTGCATACACTACATCCCTTCCTTGTTTTAATTTACTAATTTTCGGAAGTATATCTGGTTGGTTATAAAGTTGTTTTTAATAAAAACATCTTTTTTAACTTTCACTGTTTAATTAATTGAAAATCACCCATCGTAAACATAGTCCTATTAAATTAAAGAATTATTAGTATTTTGTAAGTTGTTTTTTTTTACAGCACCTTAATCATTTTAACTATCATTTATTTGTACAATTGTAATCTATAATTTCCTCTACATCACTTTCTAGTCTTTCATCATTCTCACCAATATTTAATTCCTTATTCTTATTATATTTAATTCCTTCAACTTGCTTTAAGTGTACTATATTCCTTCTATAGACTTGTCCCGTTTCGTCGTTACGAACGTCTACATCCTCACCTACACTCCGATGCACCGTGTGAGGAACTGGATCGTAATTTAAGCTTAATTTATTATTTTTATTAAAGTTTTTGGTGTATACCTTATCTCCTGGTACTAAATAACACTCTTTGGGCTTGCTCCTCTTATCTGTATATTCCTTGTCCTCTTCTTTCTTTTCATGATCCCTGTCCCTGACCTCAAAGTCTTCAAGTTCACGACTAATATGTATAGCCATGGGAATTTCATCACGGAAATGTCTTTTAAAAACCAGTTCTGCTGGAGTTTTTCCGGTCACATTATGAGGTGTCCTATTGTACATAGTCATATAATCCAATAAACTCTCCTGCCAGTTCTTTTTCTCAACTTGACATATTTTAAGGCGTTTTAAAATGTCGCGATTCTGACGCTCAACTTCCCCATTTTGATGAGGCCAGTAGGGTATTGTACTATGCAAAATAATATTTCTTTCCATGCAAAATGATTTGAAATCTTCACTGCAGAACTGCCTTCTATTATCACCAGTTATTGTCATCGGATTGCCCAGTCGAACCAACACGCCTCCTAACCCTACTGGGCTTGCATCTGCTATGACCATAATGTGATCCTTAACGTCGTAATATCCTAGAGTAGGAATTGTAGAAAGTGCAGATTTTAGTTTGGTAAAGGCAGGCTCCTGCTTTATTCCCCATAGTTATTTTAACTCTGATACTTTCCCATGCTTATTTCTTAATAATTCTCTTAGGGGGCTCCATTACAGTTGCTAAATTCGGTATCCATTTCCCAATGAAGTTTATTAGTCCTAAATAACTCTGAAGCTCACCTATATTCGTAGGAGATCGAAATTCTTGGATATTTGATACGTATTTATGGCTTGATACCTTTGTCTGATAGTTCATGTCCTACAAATTGCACTTTTCTTACTTTAAACTGACATTTGTCTTTCTTTAAGACCACATTATTTGCCTGTAAAGTTTTTAACACACTTTTTAATCTTCGATCATGCTCTTGTACATCATCATTAACTAATATGTCATCTATTTAATTGATTTGTCCCTCACATCCTAGTAATATACGCTCTAAAGTTTTCTGAAATCTTTCGGGAGCACATGTAATTCCAAACGTTAACCGCTTATACCTGAATAGACCCTTGCTGGTAATAAAAGTTGTAATATACATGGAGTCTGGATGTATCTTGATCTGGTGAAATGCATCTTTAATGTCAAGCTTGCTGAAAAATTCAGCATTTTTTATTTTAGGCAATAACTTGTCCATAGTTGGCAATGGGTGGTTTTCTCTTAGGATAGCCATATTTGCTCGTCTCATATCTACACAAAGACGGACCTCCCCATTGTCTTTTAATACAGGGACTATTGGGGAGACCCACTTTGAAGAGCTGTGAACTTCTTCAATAATATCTCTTTCAATTAATTCTTCTATTTTATGTTTTTTTTTTCTAGTAGTATAGGAATTCTCCTATAGGGTTAAAAAACTGGTTGCCCTTTGTTATCTATCGGTTTTTCGATAAACACGTCTTTAAACCTCGGGAACGTTGTTAATTTTAAGTACACCCATAGAAATTGCTGTATCTTTACCCAGTAAATTCCTTGTGCCGTCAGCAATAATGTAAAAAATAGCGTTTTCCGATCTGTCTTCTACTCGTATTTCTAAATTTGCCTCGAAAGATCCTATCACATGTCGTGGTTTGATACTTCCGTACCTGAAAAGAGTTTTATTAGGATTCTTTTACTTTATCGTTTTTCATTTTTTGCCATATTTGACCTGTAATCAAATTACATTTACACCCAGAATCACCCAGAAAAACGTATAGTATATCATCTTTTCCTTTTTTGATCCACTTGAAAAGCACCTTCTCTTTGATGATTCGTTTTATTTTTTTTTTACGATAATTGTCATTATTGTTATCTTTACTTGCTTGGTGTTTCCTTTTCAATGGTTGTCTTGTTTTGAAATATTGTCTAAAATGTCCTCTTAATTCACATTTCAAACAGTCCTTATCTTTCGCTGAAGCATGTCTTGAACCCCAACACCTACCGCATTCAATTGTTTGCTTTTTGTTGTTGACCTCTTCTTGACTTACATCCACTTTATTGATGCCTTGATTTATTTCACTACTTCCAAATTCTTCCATCTGTCGATTAACTGCTTCGAGACCATTTGCTTCTACCACTATATTACTTAAAGTTATTGAATCTCCTGTTTGTAGTATTTTCTTTCTAAGTTCTCTAGAGGAACATTTCTCTGTTATTTGGTCAATGGTTTGATCATCCTTATCTTTGAATCCACATTTATTTGCTTGTTGTCTTAATCGTATTAAGAATTTATCGAATTTTTCATTTTGTTCTTGTTTAATCAATTGGAATAGATGGCGTTCATACACCTTACTCTGTTTTGGTGCAAAAATGCATCCAGTTTTTCTATAGCTATATAAAAAACATCAACTCCTTCAACCGGTATTACAGCGACGTCAGGGATATTTAAAAGATTTCTTGCAATTCAAGTCCGCCAAAATGTAACAAACATGCTCTCTTTTTCTCACTCTTCTCTATACCTGATGCCTCAAGATAAATAAAGAGTGCACGCTTCCAGCGCTCCTATCTAGTACCTACAGATGTAGGTTCCCCATTACAATCAAATTTCTCCAGTATGAGTTGCGACATGTTGAAATTTCAATATACTAAATTCCTTACTAGTGGGACTACCTGAAACCAACCTATTCAAAATTCAAGCACTTTGCTTGTACGTATCCATATTCTATTAGAAGGGTATTCTGTTAGAACACACCACTACAATGTCAATTAAATGACCAGCTACGCTGCTAATATATTATGATCAGTGTCAATTAAATAACCAGCTATGCTGCTAATATATTATGATCAGTGTCAATTAAATGACCAGCTATGCTGCTAATATATTATGATCAGTATCAATTAAATGACCAGCTATGCTGCTAAATATTGTGATCAGTGTCAATTTAATGACCAGCTACGCTGCTAACTATCATGATCAATGTCAATTTAATGACCAGCTACGCTGCTATTATTTTTTAAGTATTGGTTTGATTTATGCCAATTTAATGGCCAGGTGTTACCTGCTGTAATATTGTTTACCATTTTAACAAAATAAATTTAGTTGAAATTTATAACACGCCTATCATGGATTGGAATCAATGATAGCATTTGTTATACATCATAAATTTAATTTGTTAAACATTTGTCAGAATCGATCCGACGGAGAATCGAACCCGGCACCGCACAATAGCCATGCGTATTGTATTGGGTGACCTTACTGCTCAATATAATAACCTAGGCACAAATAATTTTCTAGGTATTTAAAACTCGATTGAATTTGAAATTAATTATGATATTGCGATAATATAATATAAAAATTTACATGAATATATATATTATGTATAATTTATATACATTTAATTTTAAGGTCGCTAATGTACACTTATGTACATTTGTAGTGCGAATAAGCCTTTACATTTCAAAAATCCATCCGGGTAGTTAATCTCTAATCACATACATAGTCTAAAATGCGTTCAATATCGTTTGTTAAAATTATATCTAATTCCTTAGGTAATCTTATAGGGTCGTCTGAATATTAGCACAGCCTCTAAGCTCATCTCACTTCACTTGAGTACCAGAATACTATATAAGGTACAAAAATAAAATTAGAAGTACTTTTATTAACCTTTTACCCTCATATGAATACATCCACGAGGTTCATTGTAATGCATTCAATATAATTATGATGTAAAACTACAGTACAATGTAAATAGTACAGTAATGTCACAAAATTACATCGTAAAGCATCATAAAATTACACTGTGTACAAAACTTCTGGTCATAATTATTAAAAATAATAAGTTAATGATAATGAATCTTTCCAGAGACTTGTTAATTTCTAATTTCCTTTTTGTTTCAACAAAAGTACTTACTGTTTTCCTCGTCGCCACATGTATTGTTCACTATTTATTAACTTATCTTGGCTCGCCAACACACCACCACACGTGTTACCGGGCCGCCTGTCGGATAGAGACTGCCCTTTCGTTACCCGCACCTCGTGACGTATGCGCTCGAGACAAGTTAGTGTATTTGCATACACTACAATACGGATACAATCAATTCACTGACCTCTATATACACAAGAGTGAATGATTCTTTTTATTGATCAAATAATCATAGATAACTTATTAAATCGTTCAAAGCGAAACGTTTTAGTTTTATTTCGCTACAAAATAGTTCTGGGTGTTTGTTCTTTTGCTCATATGTAATACACAACGTGTTACTAAATACCCCATAAAAATATAATTAATTATCAAAGCTAAAAATTTTGTCAACCCTAGTAAGCTGTCATGTTAGGAAACCAGATTATTTAACAGAAAGGCCTACGTACCTATTTTACCTAATAATTGTCTACTTTAACAGTTTTTCTATTTTTCATTCATAAATGTTTGCTAACTCAATACAAGGATTTCATTACACTCAAGTACTGGCTTGAAAATATTTCAAGTTGGAAAAAAATATGTTGTCAATTTCAAATCTTCTAATCGATATTATACAACTGTTTCGAGTTTTTTTCCAACATATTTTGAAAAATAACGATGCTTGCTAACTCGGAATATTACGATATGATGTTATGCGTAGGCCCTGAAGATAGCAATTTAAATCGTGCTCGCGAACTGTATCGTCAAGGATTTATCGATGGTAGACCCCCCCTCCCCCCCCCCCCACCAAATAGCGACGGCTGCCTTCGTACCAGTGTTTTCTGAACATGTCAAGACGACTACATTCCACCGGCTCTTTTCATCGGTCTACTGGGAGTGGACGTCCAAGCACAGTCGACGCCAGGCAGGCTGAATTAGTGTTAGAGCATTTTGAAGAAGAGCCGACCACAAGTACGTGGCGAGCCGGCACAAGATTCGGTATAAACCATGTTGCAGTTTGGCAAATTCTTCGTGACGACAATCGTCACCCTTATCACTATCACCGTACACAGGAGCTGATACCCTCCGATTTTGCACCCAGGAGGAACTTCTGCGAGTGGTATCTCAGGCAGTTAGAGAAAAATCCTAATTACGTAAACTATGTTCTTTGGACGAACGAGGCAACATTCACAAGGTCAGGTCAACTTTTAAATATGAATAACGATTACGTTTGGGCTCGCTTGAATCCACATGCTTCACGGCAGGGCAGATTCCAACACCAGTGGCGGCTAAATGTGTGGGCTGGCCTTTATGACGGACACGTCATCAGTCCCAACATTCGACTAAAAATTTTTAAAACTAAATTTAACTAAAAAGACTAAACTGACCATTTATTTTTTAACTCAAAACAGGACATGGGTTTATTTATACTCTAAAAACTATAACTTTATACAATTAGTGTTCACTATAAAATTATATTCGGTATAGACAGTAATTATTAAATGCAACATATTTTTTTTTATTATTAATTACATTTGTCAGTGGATTAAATTTGCTTTAATAAAGTTGGTGATGATTTTAAATAAGAATAAAATTCTGCTCAAGTTTTTTTTATTATTATCTTTGTTAACAACATCGCCTTTAGA